AGATTTCTGCTAGCTGCGGAGGAAAGTATAGCGAGGGTCTTTGCTATATTTTGTGACACTCACTTTCCTTGGCGACACTTGATTTTGGACTAATTATTTTTTTTCTAGGGCTAAGTTGTTGTCTGTTTTCATATTGCAACCTTGTTATAAAGTATCCCTAGGAATCTTATTTTGCTGTCGCTTCAACCACCTGGGGGAGTCGTTGGGGTTATTAGAACACTGATAAGGACTTCCCATGGCAAGTTGCAAGTTACCTGTACGAATCTTGTTTGCGTCCGCTGTAATTAAATGTACTGTAAAACATGCTCCATGCAATTTTGGCTAATTTGACTCCATACATGAATTAACTGAATCTTAATTTAGCTGAATCTTGAATTAGCAAAATTACAGAATACTAGTAGCTAAATTAGCTAAAATAACATGTTAGCTAAAAAGACACTTTAAAACGCGCACCGCTGATACAGATGTGCATTAAACGCGTTGATGACGTTGTTTACGTTATCTGTTTGGCCATCATTCAGTACACGGTTCATGGGCATAAACAGCATCGTTTAGCAACAACACACCTTTCAACAGGAAGTGGCAAAAGACGTTTTTATATACATATATATTCAAGTTGTTCTCATGAACATTGAGTACGATTTTAGTATCTGGCGTTACGGTGACCGAATGGCAGAAAAAAACGTTACTCTTTACTGGTGTAATAACAGATTCGTGTAATATCCCTGACGATATCGGTACACACTGACACATGTAAATCATTCATCGAACGTTGCATATATTAGGGTGGCGTTTCCACGTTTATTTAAGGAAGTCTATATTCCCGTAACCTCGAAAACACACCTGTCGTTGCATCTCTGGAGAGGTAAGTTTTAACGACTAATTTTCATTATTCTTTGAAGGGAGTAGGGTAAATTCGGCTACTTCAAGTCGTCGAGACAGTTACGGCATGACACGACGCTCACGGATGTTGAAATAGTCCCTTGTATACAATGCCGGGGTTGTTGAAATTTCTTGTCATGCTTCGAAAGTATAAACTGATATTTATTATAACAGATAACATTTAAAATGTATTCATCATGCGGATAACAGGATAGTGAACACATTTGTCAAATTTACGCAGACTCCCAAGGTAGAATCATTTTTTTAGGTTTACTGCGTAACGGCCTGTTAATAGTTCGTTCAACTCTGGGAGTTCGTAAACACGTAAAGGTAAACGAACTGACTTATTTTCAGTTTGACAAAGGTGAGCACGTCGCCAGTCTCCAAGCGAACGCTTTTAAAATTGTTATTTGTTGAGATAGCGTAATTAAGATTCAGGACAGAGGAAATACGGTACGATCACTCTTTTTTAAACACGTTTGTTCAGCACGTTCTCGTAATTCGCTTTGTTCGAAGTATGTTGAACCGATGGCGGGTGCAATATACACAAAAGCATTGAATTCAGCAAACAACCTGTTAGCTCGGCTATACTACTAACATACAATCTGCGTATAAAAGATTTCATTTCAAATATTTCACTAACCATGTTATGTTATGTGGTCGCACATTATTAGTAAACAGACGAAGTCTTCCTCAACCTGCTTATTTAAAAAAAAAAACTTTTAAAATAATTTATTTTCAATTTACTATTTCAGCATAGTAGATTGCGGTAAAAATGTCGTCACTGCTTAGCGAAAACAAAATTGTACTTTGCGGGAGAAACGAACAGCTTGGTGAAACCTCAACTGCGTTAGCGGGAAACCGCATTGATCGAGACCGACGCGGTTTAACAATGTTAAAGATTTATCAACTGTTTTTAAACCACAAAGATTACGAACTATTTGTTGGCTATTTTTGTTAATACGGCACTAAGAAAGCAACTGGAGTCTAATTTGTCACGTGTGGGTGTCTCATCCCGTCATGTTTGTGCCATACCTCATGTGACACACGCACAACCATATGCATTAAACATTAATTTTATCTCAAATATTAGTTATTAAATAACCTTTATAATACTTAACTACAAACTTATAATTCATAATATTTTTTTTATCTACACAGCCATACACTCATGGGTTTACCATGTGTCTAACCCAGACGCAAAATGTTGAATAATTTAAGCACCTTGTCCAGCTTTCTACTTCTGGTTGACAGTACTGCCGCCGAGTGTAACAACACTTATAATTGCTCGGGGCATGGCGCCTGTGTGGACGGTGAATGTATATGCGAGGTAGGTTGTTCCGTACAGTCTGCATACAAATCATTTACATATTTGAGTATTTTTTTCTTTGCAGTGAAAATAAGGTATAAGTTGTTTACATTTATGTAGACAGTACATCACAATAAAAATGCACCAAATCCTCGTGGTAAGTTTTAATGATAAATTGAGTAGAGTAAATTTGGCGATTTGAATTCAGCCGTGCTTTGATAGCGCGAAATATATAAGCTTATGTGTACTACATCCGATGCATTCAAGATGTATTTAGAGTAGTATTTGCGAGAATACGGACACTTTTCGAAAATTCCGATAGAGAGTCTTCTTTTGGGTTCATTGAGTCGGCGATTCGCAAAAGTTTGTTGACCTCTGGAAGTTCGTAAACACATGAGGCCAGCGATTCAACTTAATTTCAGTTTGTCAAAGGTTGTCACGCCACCAGTATCAAAGAAAACGCAGACAAAATTGTGTTACTAATTCGGGGCATGGTGAAGGTTTTCTTTAATCGTCGTGATCGAAATGTGTGTAATGGATAGTAATTATACAAATGCTACAGACCAATTTACAACGAACACACGAAAAACCAAAAATGATACCAGGACTTACCACACACCAGAATTCAACACAGACTCCTTGCAATAATTGAAAATAAGTACATATTATTATATTCTGTAAAAACTTCATGATGTACAAACATATTATGCAATCGTAGAACAGTTCCGGTACAATGTTGTATTTGTAAGTCCCTTTCTTCTCCTTCAATATATGTTTAAAATACTACATTTGCTTTTTTTTCTAATACATCTGACAGTGCCAGGCATTAGTTCAGCTTCGGATTCTAACAACTGTCCCGGATAATTGGATTTTAATGATATATATCAACTTTTTGCAAAATATCAATATGATTAATTGTACGATGCTTTATAGGTCCAGTACGCTGGTGATAACTGTACCAATACCAACTTATCATATTACATCGCTTTCGGCCTTATATTCTTCTTGTTATGCGCAGTGAGCTTTACACAGTTGGTGAGTAGACTTCATTTATTATTCACGGTGTTACTCTTCTGACATTCCTGTTCGTATTGTACAGTCGTTTCTATTTTAAATCGATTAATAAGAATGATGTATCAATCGAATCGAAACGAGGCCGCAATTAACTCTAAGGATGCCCCTCAGTATTGTTCATTGTTCGCGAAGCACGTCAGCTCTGTACCCGATGTGTTCACTCAGAACACGGACCAGACGACTAAGGAGTACATCTACTACTACATGAGTCTCAGATGATCAGTGAGGAGACCTACTACTAGAATTCAGATAACTAGAGTGTAGATATGTTGATGTGAGAGTACATCTACTGGTTGAAATCATACGATTAGGAGCAGATCTATTACCACAACCAGGTGATTAGAGAGTAGATCTACTGGTTGGACTCAGATGACGAGAGAGTAAATACACTTCTGACACTCAGATGACTAGAGAGTATATCAACTACTGATGACCAGATGACTAGGGAATAGATCTACTGGTTGGACTCGGACGACGAGAGAGTAAATCTATTACTGACACTCAGATAACTAGAGAGTAGATCTACTACAGAGGACCAGATGACTAGAGAGTAGATCTACTGGTTGGACTCAGATGGCTAGAGAGTAAATCTGGTTAGACATAGACGACTAAAGAGTAAATCTACTACTGAGACACAAATGACTAAAGAGTATATTTGGTTCGACTCAGATTAGAGAGTACAATCCATGAGTTATCAGGACCAGTGTACAAAATATTTTAGTTGTGAGCCTGATAATGATACGTACCTCAGTAGTATTCATAATGTTTATGTTTACTCACATGAATAAAGAACCATACAATGACTATGAATTGTTAAGAAATATAAATATTACCATGTGGATAGTATTTCCTATAAATTTAATTTGGTTCAAAGGAATTTACCATCTGTAAAGGAAAGAAGTGTAAAACCTGGTACTAAAGAAGATTTTTTATTTAGTATAACCACTGCATGTATCTCTCTAATTGTGTACCACATCACCAATCATTGTATGATGTCATGGAGTATCATCATTGAATTGAATATATATATATATATATTTGTAACTTTCCAACATGTTATTTAACTTAAGAATTATTTGTTCTATTCTTCCAAAATTGATAATAAGATTTGAAATGGAAACATCCTTAGACATTCACGTATTGTTAGTAAGAATATTTTCAGTCTGCCCCGCAATCTCAGTTTTGAAACAAGATTGCTGGTGATTTGTGACACCATTATTAGCCACCAGCAGTAACCTCCATATGCATTAATTTATTCACTATACTATTCACTACTCTAAGTGCAAATTATTTAGAATAGACTGTGTGTGGAAAACGTGATCCATGATTCATCTCAATGTGACACCTTGTAACAACTGATGCAGCAAGGGCTAGCACATCCTTCTTATTATTATTCACTGAACAAATAAAAACAAGCACGTCTCTAATACTAGGCTAACTTGTCACGTGGTTATCAATTCTACCCTTAGTAACCTTTCTGCTTTTTCAATAATCGCGTGATTTAAGTCGCCACTTGTTTAAATCAGTCTGCATACAAATCATTTACATATTTGATTTGAAGTTTATTGGTTACCTGTGTTCAAGTTCTGTCCAGCATTTGTGTTCAACAAATAACCATTTCAGTTCGCTGAACTTATAATATTTTAAACAAGGTCAACTATATTGACTGATTTTCCATGGTTGTTACACATGAATTGTGTACAGAATTTTCACTAAATTATTTTTGTTTAAACTGTGCGAATAGAAAAGGTAGGTCGTTTGGTTGAATCTACTTCTTGGCTGTATGAGCCGTGTCTCACGTCAGAGGGCAATGCATACATTATCAGACATTTAAGTGGAAACATTTGATGAACTAAGTAATTATGTATAAAGAATTTCCGTTCAATTAGACAACCTTAAGATGTACAATGTAGCTGTCTTAGATCTGTTGCTAATAAAACAAAATGCTTTCTTCTTGTCCATTCATGAGGTAGAAAATTCGTTAACCTCTTTACTGTAACATAACGTTTTATAGGTCTGTCGTCGTTCAGAGAATTTCTTTTCAATGCACCAACAAGTTTTATGCTACAATATCTACCATAGAACATCAAGACAATGCTCCACTCCTTTTGGAAAACACAGTGCGAATATTCAATATATCTTGTGATAAATGTGGTATTATAATTATCATATATATACTCTGCCCTGCCCTGTTAGTTTAATTTATCTAATCAAATATTGACCAACACAGACACGAGTGTATTACTAATGCAGTCTGACCTGCTTATCTGAATATGTCAATTTGATGCGAGTCGGTACAATGCTCTAGACACATTTTGTTATCTAGCTTTTTGTTGACAGCAAATATGTCATTTATATATGCCACAATTTCTGCGTTAACATTTAACGGTTTTCTGCTGGAGCATTCTTCATTGTCACGCCCCAAATAAATTATGAGCGCGTATACGTTCACCATGTTCGGAGAAAGACGTGCAGTTTGAGGCTTTGCTTCCTTGAAAGTAAAATGCTTTTAAAAGCCAGTATATATGAGAATACAGCGTCGCCCTTCTTTGTTTGTTTACACAGTAATTAAAACATTTTGGTACAGCGCGTGGTTTAATGGGGTGGGTGAGATTAAGTTAATGATTGACTGTGACAATTATATCATGAGCATGTTAACGGAGCATGTTTCTACAGGATTAGGTAGTTCGTTTATATGAATCGCACACATCAACAGACTTTTCATCAATACACTGACAGGGACAATTAAACAAATATATGGTTTCCTGGCTCTGTTTTTGTTGATTTAATGAAAAAGTCTTGATATTTTGCTGAATAAAATAAAATGAATTAAAAATAAATAAACAAATGAATAAATAAAAATAAAAGACAAAGAACAAATAGAAAGTGGGAAGGGGTATTCAAACTTGTTTATGATTTGTCTTTAGCATTAAACCATTTCGAGTCATCATTTAGGTAGCACAGTTCCTTTCTTCGGACTTACAAAATCAAGTCACAAGGAATAATAACATTTCAAAACATTCCTGTGCCAACAAAATGTTATCCACATCCACCCTGAAGTCGCAGCTTAATCATTATAAGGTAATTATTATGTTTGCCTTACAGGTATTATGCATCAAATCGTCTTTCTCGAAAATGGATAAGCCCAGTCTATCCAAGGCTTGTAGAGTTACCACACAAAAGCTGCTCTACGCATTAGTCTTTTTTGCCACATTTTCAAGAGGACTTTATTTTGCGCTACAGGTAAGATACCAACCGCAAAGATATCTGTTCATTTTAGAAAACGCGCAGCAATATGTTAATTAGGTAGATTGTTGATTGAACTTGTATCTATTTTTCATGTAAGGAACATATTGATGAATATTGGGCGAATGGTTTACAGGCAGCTTACTATCCCATACTAATTACTGGGTTCTCTCTCATTATATGTTTCTGGGCTGAGGTGAGTTGGACATTATCAACATTCACATTCCTCTCAAAGTTGTTATGGTTACACGATGCGCAATTTAATTACTCTGGACCTTCGACCAGTGATATGATACTAATCGGTGTGATTATCATAGTAAAGTAGTGCGATTAGTAATCATTAGTCAATAGTCAATTGTATTCCCCGTGTAACATAAGCGTAGATTGTTTTATATTTTGCATGACTTCATGAATTGTTTCACACGAATTACAGCGGATTTAAAAATAACATTACTTGTGTAATTAACACTAGGCGTCCTATAAAATGAATCTCTTCCCTATTGCAGGCGTTTCATCTGGAGAGAGTTGAAGGCACTCCAAGTTTTCTCAGCAAATCGTTCACGTCCTTCATCATTTTCAACGTGTTTGTGTATTTACTGCTGGGACTGCAGTTCATCTTGGTGTACTTTAGCGACAGCAGAGACTATTTAGCTAGGATATTTATCACGTGCTACGCCGTATTGATGCTGTTTAATGTGATACTTTTCCTCGCTTACGGGGTGGAAGTTTTTTTCAAGGTCAGTCGCAGATTAAGTTATGTGGCCAGCATTATAATAACTTCTTAGAACTTAATTTGAGTTATTTTTAATGGCATTGAGTTTTTCAAATGCCTATGACTTTCAACACAATTATAGAGACCAACAATTAGATGGAATGCATTGTAGCGATTGCTGTCCATTCGTTTTTTGTTAATTAATTATTAATAATATACTATAGACGGCAAATAAATAATTTCTCGATTTCAACATATGTTCAACATGTACACCATCCTATTGCAATTAAACCATTGGATATTCTGTTTATTCGCAGTGTCGACATCATGAGTCGACATCATGAGTTGGAATGTGTATAATATTGTGTTTCGTACTGTTGAGATTGGATTAGTCCTTATTTATTTATTTATTTATTTATTTATTTATTTATTTATTTATTTATTTATTTATTTATTTATTTATTTATTTATTTATTTATTTATTTATTTATTTATTTATTTATTTATTTATTTATTTATTTATTTATTTATTTATTTATTTATTTATTTATTTATTTTTATTAGGTACATGGAGCATTCACTACTGCTAGTTCATCATTCAACATCACTCAGCTTCACCAATCTCGCGTTGGATTAGTCTCGCAGGCCTTATTACAAATCATTGCAGTCTTGTTTTTATTACTACATGTTACCAGTCATATATGGAAAGAAAAGTATGTACAGTGCGCATGCGTGATTATTGTTTACGGATTCATGTGGCTAAATAGTTACAATTCAGAAAAATTCCAAAATACAAAAAATGTCCATCCAATAAATGACAAAGAGTGTACTAGTATAAAGGAAAGGTATACCCAAATTTGTTACATGCAAATAATGACTGGGATTTCACCCATGGCGGCCATTTTGAAATCGTAAGTTGATTAAAATACGAATACATGATGTTGATAATTAAAACCTAGTTCCGGGTGGGTCACCTGCAAGTAACAGTATCGTGTTCATATATTTGTGATAAAGCCAGCACCATCCTATTGCAATTAAACCATTGGATATTCTGTTTATTCGCAGTGTCGACATCATGAGTTGGAATGTGTATAATATTGTGTTTCGTACTGTTGAGATTGGATTAGTCCTCTGGTTTCCGTGTGTGCTCTGGAATTGGGAAAGGTAAAATCGCACCAATAACATTAATCAGTTGGTCAAATAGCGGGAAATCTTTATGATTTGAAATGTGGAGAATTTGTTGGGCGGCTTCCACTCGTTTACGATCATGTATCATAGTCCAAATGTTTGTCTTCCACCCGAGTCGCTGTGAGGCAGTGTTCACACCATTCCATTTTGAACTTGTCGGGACAACAAGTAAGACGTGGTCGGTTAGTTCGTTTGCCTGTAATTTTTATGTACCTACGTTATCTGACGTGGTAATTCTTGATTAGATAATGGATCAAATCGTTGCATATAAATTACCTTTTTAACACACTTTTGAAACTAGGATATATGATCGGTTAACTCAGTCAGAACCTACAACAATAAATCTTCTCATCATGTCCCGTCTCATCACGTACCATGAATCGTGTGTATAGACGACCCAGTAGAGTAACAAAATAGTCCCTATTTTTTATTTACAGTCCAGAGAAATTATGGATTCTAAATCCAAGAAGTTGGTTGAAAGGAGGATTTCTGATGAAAATGTGAGTATATTAGAAATGTTTCATTTTTTCACTTTCCCAAAGGATATTATGGGGAGGTTCTTAGTTTTCTAATTTCTAATTTTATTTTAATGCTAATTATCATAATTATTTTCAAGGAGGTTTCTACTGAGAATGGCATATTGACTAGCCGACCACATCCATCATATGAAACAACAGCTGATACAGTGCCAGGTAAGAAGTACGTCCAAGGTATATTGTTCCTTCGCCACACGACACGTGCTTTAAGATTTCCTTATTGTATTATCATAAATACATCGTCTTGAATTCTTGTTTACTAACTCTCATTCTAACTATATCATACTAGTGATGGAACGTTACATGTCAGTTTATCACATACAGTATATTCTTTGTGCAGTTCAGTCATTCAAAACTCAACAGTCCAATAAATAACTGAAACAGTTTTGCATTCTTCTTTAAAGTGCATAAATCAGACACTTTTGAAAGAAATGTACATTCATAGACTCAATAACACACCTCATTATTTATTCAAAAACGCGAATATGCAAATTTGAACACCACAACATTATTTATCATTTACGGGGCACACATTTGAGTAAAGATCACGGGATAAAAACATGGTATGTGTAATTTGGACATCATAAAAAGTCAATATTTCCGGAAATAGTTCAATGTTATAATTATACTTATAAAAACTTATCCAAATATAACAAACGAGTGCCATTCTCATGCAGGCGCATACGACTGCTGGATCTGTTATGATCCTGAGAGGACTGATGCGGGCGCTCTCATCCAGCCGTGTAACTGTAAAGGAGATGTAGCCACAGTGCACCATGACTGTTTACAAAAATGGCTGATGGAGGTGAATATTGATTTATGTATACGTCATATAATTGTGAACTAATTAACTTATTGCACAATAAGAAAGTCCACGAGGACGTATTCTTTATTCACTGTAACCTATTCTAGCAATATGCCTCACATGTAAATGACTGCCGAGATTTTATTGAAACACTACCATAAGGACTTTTCGCTTTCGACATTGTGAAATTCTTTCGTTTTTATGCAAAAATACAGTATTTTTACCAAGTAAAATCATATTTAATAAAGTTATTGTTCATACATGGGTTGTTGAACACACTACATACTATAAAACACATCTTTTTAGCTAGCATGTTATTTTAGATAATTTAGCTAATTCAAGATGTCGCTAATTTAGAATAAAGTATATTCTTACAATGAGATTGTTGGCACTTTAGTTAAATTAAGATTCAGTTAATTCATGCATTGAGTCAAATTCTCTAAAATAGTATGCAGCTATTTCAAAGTGTTTTACAGTAGTTTGTACGTCTATTCAGCTCCTTTCAGTCCTAATTCAAGACAATAAAAGGCAAAAATATAGAGATTATAGCAAATTATGTGTAATCAGTAATTATGAAAATTATTAATGGGTACACAGGGAATACACTTCGTTATGAATTATTCTTAATATATATCTTCTCCCAAACACAAAAGAATTTCACAATGTCGAAAACGGAAAGACTTTATCGTCGTGTTTTGAGAGCGAGAGAGCCCCTACACCTGTTTTCGCCCCCGGACACACCTTTCTTATAAAGTACGCCCGACGGAACGCTTTTATGACGTAGATGGGTGACACGCAGGCCGTTCAAATCGTCGATATCGTTTTCATCTGCAGTCTTTCATCAACAAATGTTATGTTTTGAGAGATATTACTATAATATTCTAGATGACAAACAACTACACAATCAAATACAGTTTGAACGACATCGTCTTCAACCATACACGTCATTTTGACGTCACAGAAACGTTTCGTAGCTAGATTTATAGGAATGTTGTATATTGTTACATTCTCTCATGTTATCGCGTCCACTATTTGGTCTGTAGGGTTAATTTTATGTGTAATATTTTTTTTCCCTTTTCAGACATCTATCAACAATCCTGAGAATATTTTCTGTAAAGTTTGTAAAGAAGAGGTACGTATACGGTAAAGGGCATAAAACTGTGGTCGTTATAAACATACATTTAAAAAAAAAATCAAAATGAAGTTTAGAATTCAAATCGACCAATCCGGAAATGGTATAGTTACATCAACGTTAGTTCTAGTTAATATTAATGGGATATTTCAAGATTATCTAACATTTGGATTTTGATGAAAGCTGATAATCAGCTTTTGCAATAATTCTATAAGTGAACCCGTAGCTTGAATGTCTTTCACTGTATAATTTAAAGGTCTCTCCTAAGCGTAATGAAGAACATTGGTTTATGTGTCAATGAGGGTGTGAGAAAGTGGTTTATTTCAGTATTTCATTGTTACTATTACAATGGTTTTACTTAGTTAAAACGTAGTATGTGCAGTTATCAGATGGGGTATGCGCCCCATAATATGAGATTATTACGAGAATACCTCAAAGTATGCACGAAGACGAGAGTGTCGACCGACGCGACCGAGTGCATACTTTGAGGTTTCTTCGTAATAACCTTTATTATACATCTTTTCCTTCGAAGGATACTTTATGGGAATGCCAAAATGTTTAGAACAGAATCAGCGAACTTCTTTTTTTGTGGAGTCCAGTCAAACCCTGGTGGCAGCCATGTTTGTTTTTATTATTAGAGGACGCTTACGTGCATAACCATTCGCATTTCCTTATATGGTAGGATGAAAATACCCCATAAAATACCGCAAAATTACGGCACGCTGTAACTTATGGCGTTACGGTTACAGATGGTCATGGTTAGAGTCGATCAGCCACGCTAAAACTAGAGAAATTGAACATGTCACGTAATTGTGCAGTTTCGACTGAAAAGTAACTTTCTGAAATCAATAACAGAAAACGCCAATGGGGTAACTCTTAAGACTTACCTAGTTCCTGTAAGAATGTGGCAATGTGCCTCGGAAATTACGAGCTGTGATTGGCTGTCCGTTTTACAGTCATACATTTAAAGGGCAGTGGTTGTTGCACCGCGTCGTGTTTCATATGGGACCCATAGCGACGTAAACGAAAGGAACACGTACTACACGACGACCACTGCCTTTTAAAGACGCGATATAAACAAGTATTTAATAAACATTAATACATTGGGATTAAATTCAAATGCAAAACAGTTAATATTATTGGTTGAATTATCATGAACTCTCGAAAGCTGTTCTGATAACTGAACATTCGTTCGTTATAATAATTGTTTTGGTAGATACAATAACATTACGAATACTGGAATGTTTTTTTTTTTCAAATTTCGTCGAACAGTTTACGTTAAATCATAATCAAATTTGGTCTCCAATATGCAGTATCAAACAAGAAATAATAATAATTAAAAAATATGATTTAAAAGAGTTTCAGCCAGTATCCTCATAAGTATGTTTTGTTTCAGTACCAAATCAGGCAAGGCCATTTCACAGTGATCAAAGGGTGCCGGGGTAAACATATGTTGTTAACTGGTAGTATTGTCTTCGTTATGATCGCCACACCTATCGCCGCGTATTGTCTGTGCTTAAGGTTTCCAGACACAGTTATACAGATTGTTAGTGTTGGAGTGTGTCTATTGGTGGAATACATTTCACTCAAGTAAGTCATGCACATTTTACCGATCAAGCTTACTTAGTTGACTAAATAGTTGACTTGATTTCAGCACAGTTTATGAGTGTCATTATTATCACTAGGTCACTTTACGTTGATAGACCACTCACATATAATTAGCCAGCCATGATTATTTATCATGTCTTGCGGCTGTTGGATCCCGTCACTTGCATTCCAACTTAGTTAATGATTTACGAGATTTGGAAATCACACGTGGCCTCCTGCTTCGGTGGTCATGGTTGAAGCTACGTAATGCGAAAACTTGTCATAGGTATGAGCAGTTGTACACAATTCAGTGGTACTAAAAAGTCTTAAATCAATGACCAACTATATCATACAGTGACCAGATTATTTCCCAAGTTTTTTTGCATCTCCAATAATGACAGACATATAAATGCCAATGACGGTTTTTGAGAAATACCAACCTAGCACTCTGACGGACATACACTATACCACTAATGAACAATAAACAAAGCACATGATTTACAAGAACCCGTAAACCAACACATAGCAATTAATTTATATCAGATCCATTAATTACGCCAATACGAACTTATTGTTAAGCTCATCTGCGGTAGTAGTATACAAATGCGTTATTATTTTCAAATATCTATTAAGGGAAATATGTTAAACTGTTATGTTAATTGAACAGTTTTTCTTTTATGTAATATTCAGATTACTGGGCTTTGGTTTCATGAATGCCTACCAACGTGCCTAAACTGTCCACCATAAAGATCATTAGCAAGAGGGCGAACAACGAGGCAACTGACGTATCCCATGATGCAGCGCGAGTGGGAATCTCCATCATCAGCAACGGACAAAGCCAGTAGTCACGATGACTACGAGTATTTATTTTGATTGTACAAGCATACCTCTTGTTTATTTCATGTTGTATGTGCTAGTTTGCTTTTATAAATGTAAACACGTTTTATTCTAAGTTCTCCGTGATAATTTGTATAAGCAAT